TAATTAAATTCGTAAATAAAATCAGATAAAGAAGGATTAAATTAGATACAGTGGAATCCGTGGGGAAGGATTTCAGAGCTTCACCTATAATCATAAATTTTTAGATTTCATGCACACTTAATTAATTCAAACTATATCATATATCAACAATTATAATTTTAAATTATTATTATAAATCAATAGGAAGCTTAACAAAAGGAATCTCTAAGGAGCGTCTCAAAAAAAAAAAAAGAAAAGAAAAGAAAAGAAAAGAAATACTACTTATGATATGTATAAAGAATGAAATGAGTATCAGTGTTTGTAACCCGTCTCAAGATGTGCTGTAAAGAACCGAATCTCAATCAAATAAATTTGACTAAAATTATTTAACTTTGACTAATCAAATATCAATGCACTTTTCCTACCATAAAGTTGAATGGTGACAATTTTGTAATTACAATTTTAATTATTTGAAAATTAAAATTGAAATGTATTTTTTTACTTCAAAATATATAAATTTACTGTAGTAATAATTTTAACTCGTTACCAAAATTTAACTGAAAAAACTAACGGAATAAATCCATCATAGAATGAATTATAAAAAACGCATGCACACGGTATAAATGGTGGTGTTATAAGAATAATTTTTTTGTTTTATTTTTTTATATAATTTTTACATATTATGAAATAAGTGAATATATTTAATATTACAATCTCATATAAATTAAAATAATTAATTATTTTAATGACATATTAAATTATAAAAAAAATAAAACAATTGTACAAAAAGTATTCCCCTATAAAAAGAATAAAATAAAAACGAATCTTAATCATTTGACTAGAATTTCGATTTGACTTTGTGTAATTAAAGATTAAATTAAATCCCATTTGTTAGTAATAACATTATTGTCTGTTTGTCTGTGTCTACAATCCTATCCCGTGAACCCTAAGGAGTGAAATTCATTAATATATAAATGTTATTTTATAAATTATGTCTATAATTTAATTTTTAAGATTAATATTTAAAAAAATTAATTTTTTTTAGTATCAAGTCAATACAGAAAGTGGGTCTTTAAAATCACTTAAAAAAATTAATTTTAAAATATAAAAAAACTAATTTAAAAGCACATTGACAGTAAATAAATAAATAAAACTATCCCACCTTGTGAAAAGAATCATTTAACATTGCTCCACCAATCAAAACAAGAGTGAATGTCAAAATTCAGACGGCAGATCTCAACAATAAAAATGTCAAACCGCCAGCAAATTTTCCATTACCATGGTTTAAATCTCAACTACCCTTTTAGAAAAAAACAAAGTGTGTTGTAATTTATGTTTTTAGGGTACAGATTAAAAATAATTTTTTAATATTAATTATTATTAGAAAATTTATATTTATTTAATTAATAATCTAATTAAAATATTAAATATAGTATTAATGATAAAAATTAATATCAATTATTATTATTTTTTATATTAATTAATATAAAAAAATATATTAATTATATCTTTAACTTATGTATTAAGAGTACAAATTAAATAAATTCAAAAATAGAACCAAGACACATACTTCCCTTGCCTTTTTCTTTATGTTTCACAATAAAGCAAAGAATAAAGAATGGGAATTTGTCAGATTTAAAAAAAAAAAAAATTGTAGTTAATAAGTAAGTTATGCTTCCTTTTTTATTTTAAAAGGTTAAATGTTAAATTTGGTCTCTTAACTTTAGTGAGTTGCACATTTTTGGTCCCTTAATAATTTTTTGTACTTTTTTGATCCCTCAACTCTAACAAATGCACACCGTTAGTCCTTCTGTCAATTTAGACTGTTAACTACGACACATGGCATTTTTTATAATTTTTTTTATGACATAGCAAAAAATAATTTAAAAAAATGTTGATCTGAAATTTTTTTTTTAAGACACGTTATTGCCAACTTATCACTAACTTATCAACCGATTTTGCCTTAATAAAAAAATAAAAAATTACAAATTTACCCATCTCCCTTTTTTGATCCATCTTCTTCCCCTCTTTCGATCATCTTCTTCCTTTCTTTTTTTTTTTTCTTTTTCTTTCTTCCTCTTCTTCCTTTGTGTCTGCTGGGTTTGGTGGAACCCAGCAAACTGGGTTCTATCGAACCTAGTTGCTGGGTTCGACGGAACCCAGCAACTGGGTTCCACCGTACCCAGCTCGGGTTCGATGAACCCAGTTTGTTGGGTTCGAGCTGGGTTCCTC